ATCGTGTGACTGGAAATTTATACAATGATCTAACTGGGGTACAAGTAGGGAACATTTGCCTTCTGTGATCTGGCCCTAACTGTCCTCACAGGCTATACAACCAGAGAGTTAGGATTATGCTGAATCGTGTCAAAAAGAATACATGCCTTAGTGCTGTGCCAGAAAAGGGTGCAACAGCTCTTAAAAGTGGCAGGATGGATTAATCTAAGCAGAAACGTGTGGACATAATCATTTGGTTTGAACCAAACCATGCAAACAGCGATCCATATATTCATCTATGTGATCGTCTGGACAGGCCTCATGTAGCAGCATTTAGGTTAAACTGTGGCTACTGAAATTTTCTGGAAAAAAATGGCTATTTCCGTTAAGAACTCTATAATCCTAATAGGCATAGAGGAGGCTGAAGGGTGGCCAAAAGCAAATGTACAAAACAGTGTACAAGGGAACCTAACTATTAGCTGATCAGAAGGACTGACAGAGAACATTCATTTAAGAGATTAGTGCTTAAAGTCATCACTGAATGTCCCCAGGTTCTCGTCAATTATCCAACCCTTTTTTGCCATTAAGGTTGTCCTACTTTCTGCTTTGTCACTGATCTTATAAGCAATAAAAAAGTGGACTTCAAATTGAATTTGTGTCTGATTTTTCCCCCCATAACATCTTCACTATAGAAAAGGCTTTCAAAAATGTTTTCAAATGAGTTTTGTGAGGGTAGGAAAATTTTATCACAGCAAAAATAACAACAACAACAAAATTCATAACAACAGGAACTGCTACATTGCCTTCTTACATTTTACTTATTTATACAAAGGTCTCGTGCAAAATCTTCAGATCTAAAGAACTGCTAGATTGCCTTCTTGCATTTTATTTATTTATACAAGGTCTCGTGCAAAATCTTCAGATCTAAAGTGTTTGTGCATTTTGTTATGGACACTTAAACCTTTTGCGAGATAATAATATGGGTTTACAAAGCATTCTTCTTAAGTAAATATTAATGCTACAAACATTGGGAAGGAAGGAAGGAAGGAAGGAAGGAAGGAAGGAAGGAAGGAAGGAAGGAAGGAAGGAAGGATAATGCCCCTTTCCTCTTCTTCCATTTATATAAAATGTATGCTGGTATGTTTCTGAGACTAGGCAGCTGTTTTCCATTTATAAACTTGAAGGAAGTGAATGGCACTCTTGTCTAGAAAGGTAGTGGTAGATTTTCAATTGAGTTAATGCGTAGCAACTTACACGGCTGCTTTCCACTCTGTGGCAATTGGTAGACTGATGCAGTGAGAGGAATCATAATATACGAGTATAGAGATTTGAAGATGCTCTATTCTGACTGTTTATTTAAGGTAGTGGTGCTGAAACATCACAGGGCTGAAAAAAAAGCAGAAAGCGTCATTTATATATTCAGTGCATTTATTTATATTCAGTGCATGCTTCTGTTCAAAGCCCTTCTTAGCACAGATATGGTCTGCCATTTGGAAGAGACGGTGGGGGAGATATAACGCTGAAGAGACTTGCTCTTGGATATATCTGCTTTTGTCATCGGCCTTGTGTATGTGTGATTTGTGCTGTCAAGTCAAACCCAACTTATAATGACCCTAAGACGGCTTTCAAGCTAAATGAGAGTCAGGGAATCCAACCCAGGTCTCCTGGAGTTGTTTTACTAGTCCCACTCGCCCAGTCAGTTTCCACGGCAGAGTCAGGGAATCCAACCCAGGTCTCCTGAGTCCTAGTCTGTCTATCCACTATAACACACCAGGAATCCAATAAACATGTGCCGTCAAGTCAATTCTGACTTATGGAGACCCCTTTGAGGATTTTCCAGGTATAGAATACTCAGATGTGGTTTACCATGCCCGTCTTCTGGGTGTGTGTGTGTGTGCCCTGGGACGATGCAGTGTCCCCAAGGCCACGCAGGCTGGCTCTTCTCCCAGGAAGCACAGTGGGGAATCGAGCTCCCAATCGCTGGCTCTGCAGCCAGATACTGAACTCAATGGGCTATCCAGCCAGCAGTGGCAGTGCAGGTATAATTCTAAAAATGCATTTATATTATGGATCAAAATCCCAGCGCTACATTAGATTTTTTTATATATATAAGAATTCCCCTGTGCAATTTTGTTAGACCTTAGCAAGAATGGTGGGTGTGTTGCTCCTTGGGTAGCAAACATGGATTTTGAGAATAAAGTCAGGTGCATTAATAAAGTGAAGGAGAGGTCAACTTTGAAGCAGGCAATAAGAAAGAAACAAAAAGGTGTAAAGAACAGAGGCATGGAATAATCTGTTGCACAGGTGGTTTGCAACATGATCTGCCATGATCTGTAGACTCCTTTAAGAAGAGCTGCACAGAAAAAAAGGGGGGAGGAGGGAACACCAGTGCATTGGAATTAGTCCATTGTGGCTCATTGGGACTTTGTACTGTACCCTATCTGGCATCTTTGTAGCCCACTGCATGAGATTTGCCATAGAATAGTCCATGAGATAAATGTCTAGCAGCTGAGACCCTTACTTGGAGACACACCGCATCATTTTCTCATTCGAAATATTCTCTTCATTTTGAAAAAAATGCCACTTGACATGTAGGGTAAGATGTACTGTTCCCCCAAATCTTACAAGTGAGGGTGTTAGAGAAATCAGCTAGTGTATTTCATTGTCCTAAATTTGAGAAATGATTTTAAAAAATGGGGGTTTGTAACATATAACTCCCTTACATGGGACTGTTAATGGCATTAACCTCAATAATATAGCATGGTCATAAAAATACTTCTATTGGCACCTCCCTTGATTAGATAAATTATCTGGAAGTCAACAAAAGCCAATGGGATCAATCTCAGAACAGTGAGAAATCTATCCAGCTACACAACTCACAAGATAAATTTTTAGGGTGCAACAAGGCTCTTTTTATATTTGCCATTTATAGATAGGTAGATAGATAGAAATTACAACAGTGATTGTTGTACCTAAAATATTAAACCATGTGCTTCAATGATCTATAGCCCACTTCTTCAAATGCATAAAGTGATATCCAGATTTCAGGTGTATTACACAGTATACATGGCTTAAATTCTTCCTACAATTACATATACTTTGTGTGTGCTCTCTAAATGAGAAAAACTAAAACGCCACAAAGAAATCTTTGTTTCCACCTTCGGTTGTAAGAAGGCAAAAACTTTTACTATGGCATTTTAAAATTTTGGTTTTTGTTAGTCATTCTTTCAAATGCATTAACTGTATCCTTCTCAGATCCAGAACAAACTAATTTGAAGCACCATGTGATGCTTATTACGTGTCTGTGTGTCAATATGCATTTTCACATGCAGACACAAAGCGAGATATAAATGAACATCCAAGAGGTTAGAAGTCTGCTTTTAAGCAAACAAATAGGATGATATGCCAAGGCCAAACATAAACAATCAGCAGTAGGATGATACTCAAAGTGATGTATCATCCTACCACTGTTCAGTTTGGGATAGTTTCGTTATGTCATCCCAGCTGTTTGTTTTAAACACAGCTCTTCAAGCTGAGACAGAGACAGAGTTCTGGACGCATAATCATGTTCATCTCTTGCAGCAAAAACAGGACAGCATCATCATGAGCTGGCGGGATAGTTCAATAGATTGGAGGGCAAGGCAGAGGTTAGGCCTTTGATTCCTCTCTTGGCCTCCTGGGAGAAAAGCCAGTCTGCGCTGCCTTGGGCAAGCTATAAGCACAGCTTTCAGCAGCATATTTCAGCACTGTTATTACAGAGAGAAAGAGCATAATTGTCCAGAGCACTCAAAAGAAGGGACTCCTGAGGCCTTGCCTTGCCTTGCCAGGCATGCCCTTTACATCTCCAAAACCATGGAAAGGGTCACCCTAAGTTGGAATCATAGGGACGTGGTGGCGCTGCGGGCTAAACCGCAGAAGCCTGTGCTGCAGGGTCAGAAGACCAAGCAGTCATAAAATCGAATCCACGCAACGGAGTGAGCTCCCGTTGCTTGTCCCAGCTCCCGCCAACCTAGCGGTTCGAAAGCATGCAAATGCAAGTAGATAAATAGGGACCACCTTGGTGGGAAGGTAAAAGCGTTCCGTGTCTAAGTCGCACTGGCCATGTGACCACGGAAGATTGTCTTCGGACAAACGCTGGCTCTATGGCCTGGAAACGGGGATGAGCACCGCCCCCTAGAGTCGAACACGACTGGACAAAAATTGTCAAGGGGAACCTTTACCTTTAAGTTGGAATCAATTTGGCAGCACCTGCCTTTGAGAACCAGTGTGGTAGCGAATAGCGTGTCAAACTAGAACTTGGGTGTCTTGGGATCCAACGCCCCCTCAGCCACGGAAGCCTGGAGGCGGAGGGTGGGTGGGATGTCAATGAGATAGCATGCCTTGAAACACCTCAGATGCTTAGAAACCCCTACTAACAGGATCACCACAAGTCGGAAGCAATTCAAGGGCACATCACAGTGAAGCATTCTGAAGCCTAAGAAGTTGTCGGCGGGGGGGGGGGCTGCAGCCTATTTGCCTCCGAAGGAGCCTATGTTTTTCTCTGCTGAAATTGTGGATAGGGCTCGAGGGCGCGAAGTCGGGTATGCAGGCTCTCGTGGTGTGTTATTCAACGCGCTGGCCTTCAAGGTGCCACAGAGCTCTTCGTTGGCTTTGTTGCCAGAGACTCTCACAGCTCCCCGCTTTTAGGGGGAAAAAATTGGGAACTCTCTCTGATTTGTGCTGGTTGGTGGGTTTTGCCCACGGCTGCCCCCCCCCGTACTTTTTCAGGGGCGGAAAAAAAACGCGCCTCTTTTCCCTTCGCCTCCTTTGAGGAAGAGAAAAGGTTCGCTGGGGAGAGGCGGCGCCTTTTGACCAGAGGGTGGCGCTGCTCTCTCGGCCTCCCTCGCCGGCGCCTTCGGCCCGCGCGCCGAGGAGAAAAAAAGTTGGGACGCCGCCGACGAGTCAGCCGGGAAAGGAAGAAGAGGGCGGCCGCGGTATTTGCATGAGCAGCGGGGAAGCGCCCGCGGAGCGCCTCGGCGGGTGGGCGAGCGGGTGAGGGGTGTCCTGGGCGCGCGCGGGCGCGCGGGCGCGCGTTCTCCCTCACGCCTCTCGCTCTCTCGCACTATATAGGATGTGCCGCGGAATGGTCGGCGGCTCCTTGCGGTAGGCGCGCGTGCGGCTCGCCCTTGCCTTGCTTTGCCTTGCCTTGCCAGGCGCGCTTCGCCGGAGCCGCCGCCGCCGCCGCCACTACCCGGTTCGTCTTCTCGGTCTCGGCAGCCCGAGTGTGAGAGAGAGGCAGGCAGCTCTCCCGGCAGGCGCTGCTTGCTCTTGCTGCCGCCGCCTGCTGCCTCGTTCTTCCTTCCTTCTCCTGCCGGGGGGGAAGCCTCCATGTGCGGCCGCCCATGGCTGGGGCACAGCCAGGGGTCCACGCTCTCCAGCTGCAGCCGGTCCGCGTCTCGGCCAGCCTCAAGAAGGGCACCACCTTCGTCAAGTGGGACGATGTAAGTTGAGGGAGCGCTGCCTCCGGCCGACCAGCCTTC